CACTCTTCAGGAGACTGGACAAGACCCTCTTCACTAGGGTCACCTGCCGATTTGCAGCTGTCACAGGAGGGATTGCCCCTAGCTAGGTGCGGGATGCACATCTGGATTTCTCTGGGCATTGCAGTGGTAGGAAAGGAGTTTTCCTGTTGACCAAGACTAGGAGGGCAGCCATGCAAGTGGAGTTTTGTTGGCATGGTGGGATCAGCTTTTTCTTCCCCCTGTTCTGTCTCCAGATCTTTCTCTAATGATATGTTTATGATAAAGGGGAAACGATGAAATAATCTCCACAGGCTTGACTGACTGCAGGGGAGAAGCCATCCAGCAGGTGCACGTGTAGACCTGCATGAGGTTCTCTGCTCTAGGGGCAGGGAGGGCATTTGCCAAGCATGGCCCTGGGCCTACCTTGTAGGCCACGGTGCAGACTTGGGAGGGTGACTGACCCACAGGAGAGCATCAGAGAGGCCCCTGTAGGGACCACGTGGCGATCAAGAACCTGGGCTTGATGTTGACCTGAGCTTGGGCTCCGTGCCTGGTCACTTCCTAACGGTGTGCAGGAAGCCCCCTGCCTCCTCGCCCCCTAGCCTCAATTCCCTGATGCTCTGAGAGGAGAGGCGGGCGGGATGGAGGGAGCATGAGCCTGCGTGTCCTGTGTGCTGGCCCAGGAGGCTTGCTGCCTCTTCAGGTGGGAGATGCAGCACCTCTGGTGGCTCAGGGGCACTTGCAGAGAGGGCGCTGCTTGAGACAGACAGCAGGGGAGAGCTGCAGAAGGTTCTGGAGTCTCCCCTGGCCCTGGGAGCCTGTTTGCTTGCCCAGGGTCAGCCTGCTGGAGAAGTGCTTGCTCCAGGTGCTCTGGGTGCTGGGGAAATCAGGGTTTGAGCAAAGCTCCAGGAGATGTGGTCTGCAGCCACAGGAGGCAATCTCCTTCCGAGTGCCTGCGACAGTGGCTGCGCGGGGGTGGGGGGGTGCACGTGGTCAGGAAAGCTTCTGGAAGATCACGCCCACCACACCCACCTCTCTTGGCCCTCTTGCTCTTGTTCCAAACTGCTGCCACGGCTACCTGCCAGTCATCCTGAGAACCCAACCCAGGGTCCTGGTATCTGCTCCTGCTCCTCCACCCTGCCAGCCTCTTCCCTCCTTAGCCTTCCCTTGTCTGGAACTTTCCAAAGTCATGGCTGCCTAGGCCCCCTGTTTGGGCTCTTCCTTCCCTAAGACAGTCTTCCTCTCAGAAGACCTTAGAGTCTTATGGGGTCTTCTTATGAGTCTTCCATCTCAGCTCAGTTATCCACTTCTCTGGCCCCAAGCCTGAAGAAGGCTCCTCTCTGAGCTATAGGCTGACTTAGGATTTTATCTAGTGTGGTTGGTAGAGGCTTCTGCCATAGGGCCTAGGAGGTGAATTGTGAGGATGCAGTTGCAGGAAGGTCCATTTGGCTGCAAGTCTATGGAAGGCATTTTTAATATCTATGTTATTTGCAGAGATTCCACTCTGATTTAAACCCAGGGCTGTGGCCCTGCAGTGGGTCTAGGGACCTTCTTGTACACAGGACAAAGCAGAGGGATTGAATATAACCTGCGGACATGTCTTCTTTAGCCCAGAGGTATTTTGAAATAAAATAGAAGATTTCACGAAGTGGATTTCAGCACTTCAAGAGAGAAAGTTCTCTAGGTCTGATCCCACTGGGCCCACAAACCTTAGCGGCAGCCCCTGGCTGGCCCTACCTGGGGACAATGCGGTTAGTCCCCCTGGGCCCACTTCTGTGTTCTCTAGCTGGAGATCACAGGAGTTGAGTGAGGTATGTGATCCTGGTGTGTTGACAGTGACCATCCCCTTGTCCTGGATGGAGGCCCATAATTCTGTTTCCTTCCTGAAGGAAGAGGGTGGGGTACTTCCAAGGCCCTCAGCATAAGCAGCTGCTTCACCTGCATCTCAGCCCCGGGAGCAGGTCTGTTTGAGAGAAGAGATCCCTGGGCAGAGGGGCCTGCCGCCTGCAGCCCACAGTGCCCGCATGGCACCCAGCACCCTCTTGGACCTCTGCTTCCTCTCCTGCAGGGCCCGGCCCCTCACCCTGTCCCCTCCTTCCTGAGCCCACTGAGGAGGCTTCTGAGAAAGAATGACTCATGCACGCCCCAAATTTCCAAGCTAGAAAGGCACTGGGAGAGCTCCCCGCCAGCCTCTGAAATTGCCTCGGGCCCAACCAGAAATAGCCGTGACAGTAGGGTCTGATCTTGCCCTTCTGTTCTGTTGGGTTCTGCTTTGGTAAATAGATGCAGCCTTCAGACTAAATCCTGAAATGTTTCAAGATACTTGTTTCCTTTTCCTCTGAATTTTTATTCATTGTAAACTACATGGTTAAAGATAGTAAAATAAAAAGGCGAGATCTCAGTGCCAGCACTGTAATATTACACATTTCTGTCTACTTTTTCAGTCCTTTCTCATATGTACACATGATTGTAATTATAGTACAATTAAAACTCATTCACTTCAGTATTTCCAGCACCCAGAACAGAGGTTGGCATGCAATAGGATTTAGTAAATGTTTGTTGACTGTAGAATATTTGTTTATGTAAGTATAAAGTGAATTCTTCTAATTGCATCATACACTGATTACCGTTGCAACAAGTTGTTAGATTTTATTTGCCACTTTACTGCATTTAGATTTTCCCTCTAATTTATGAGGATTATAAATACTGTTACAGACCACATAACTGTTTTTGACTGTTTGGAATTACTTTCCTAGAATAAATTTCAAGCATTTGAATTCTTGGATCAGAGGAAAGAAAATTAAGAATTATGGAAATTGCTTTCTAAAATCTTATTAATATTTATCCCTGTTGCTGGAATTGTTTGAAAATATTAGTTTTATCATAATCTCATCTGCTTTGTGGTTATAGTTTTCAAATTTTTGGTTATGTTGTAGTGTAAGCTGGTACCTAATTGTTTTGATTTGCCTGTCTATATGTGTGGTTATTAGTATGGGTTGAAGAACTGTCTAAGAATTTAATAACTTCCTTTTATATGCCTTACCTAATTGAGTAGTGTTATAGATTTTTTAAAAATTGGATTTGGCTGAATTTCTCACATAAGTATAATTAACTCAATTTTTTCTATCATAGTAGCTGCCCACATTTTTCCTAGTGTGTGATTTTCCATTATTAATATCTGGTGAGTTGTTATAGGTGTGATTCTCTGTTCTGTGGAGAGCTGAGAGCATGGTTGTCGGAAGGACCTTAGAGCCCTCCCCTGTCCTTGATGTCTCTGACGGGGACCCTGGCCCAGAGAGCAGAGGCCACAGCTCACCCGCCCTGCTGGCACGAAGGGCCAGGGCAGCCCCGACCCCAGCCCACTGCTCCGTAGTCTTGGGCTCTCTGCACACTTTGTGTTGCTCTCCTGGCCCAGAAAGTTCTTTTGAGCTGGGATTCATGCTGGATCTCTATTTTGGACCAAGGCAGTCTTTGTAGAACTCTGCTGAAGAGGGCTGTTGCCTCTGCAGTGACAGGGAGGCAGCCATCCCATCCTTCTGACTCAGGACATCTAAAGATATCCTGGGCTGGGGAATTTGGAGGAGCCCATAATCAATCTGTGGACATTAGGCTCTTAAGAGACAGTAAATGCGGTTTTGATACTGAATTGCCTCACAAGATGCATTAGTTGTATAGTATGGGAAGCCACCTGTCTGCCAGGTGTCGTAGAGGCAGAAGACAGGGACAGGGGCCCAGGATCAAGGTGGACTCATATCAGGAGGGCTCCTCCCTTGTCACTGGGGAGGTGCCCCAGAACTGGCAGGTGGCCCCTGAACTGACTGGCAGAGACCTGGTTAGAAGCAAAGATCCTCATCCCAGTTCTGCCTACATCATCAGCTTCCCAACTCGCAGCACATGTTCACGATCAGGTCTGGTCATCCATCCAGCAAACATACAGTGGACACTTAGGACTCTGTGCTGGGCACTCGCATATTGCTACAAAGGTGGCTGAGGCATGGTCCGCCCCTCAGGGGATTATACTTTAGTGGGGTAAGCAGGAATACTAATATCTATCTGTCAAACAAGCAGACTTATTAAATGAGTGTCAGTAAAGTTCCAGAGTGGCCACACAGGAATCAGTAAATAGATTGCACAAGGTTTGAGCAAAGTGTCTGTGAAGAGGTGGTACTCAGCCAAGTCTAGAGGGATGAATAGAATTCCAGGTGGGGCTGAGGGTGGAAGATGGAGGAGAAGGGAGAGGACCACCCAGCCTAAGGGTCAGAAGGACGGGCACCAGGAGGTGGATGCCATGGCCCTGGTGCAGGGAACGGGCAGGGAGGAGGAGGTGGGTCTGATTGGCAAATGCCGCTTAGAAACCATGGAACGGTTTGAGGGGTCATGATGACCCCACGTGTGACAGCCGAGGAGGCTCTGGGTCTTAAGTCCGCAAAAGCTGAGAAGGGGACTGGGAAGGGAGAGCCTCGGGCCTCAGAGGTGAGGAGCCCGTGTGCATAGCCTACGCCTGAGGACACCGTCTTCCACTGCTGCTGATCCAGCAACAGCGGGTGGCGGGTGATTTCTGGTTTTATCAGCCTCTGTCTGGTCAGCTGGAGTGGGGAGCGGGCCAGCGGGTGCAGCCCTGGTGAGGTTTGTTTGCTTAGTCTGGAGAAAGCCTGACTGGTGTGTTTGTTTGCTGTTTGCCCATCGTATAGCAGGTGTTTAGTGGTGAGGGAGCCGCAGAGGACATCAGCAGAGAGCTGGCCCAAATTCTGGAAGTTGGGAGCCTCTTCTGCCGGAGCAGGAGTACCCTAATTGCTTCATCTAAGTTGGGAAGCTGTCGTGGTGAGAATGATGATGTGTCTCTGCTTCCATTCCAGATGCCTTAGGGCCCCCTGGGCCATCCCAGAGGAGTCTATCCCAGCGGCCAGTGGCTCCCAAGCAGCGCTCATGTGCCCAGCGGGCTCCTGGTCTGCCTCGGGCTCCTGCTGATGCACCTGGAACCCCGTCCCCCGACATCCTGCTCCGCAACCTCGGCCTGAGCCATGGAGGCCTCTGAGGTCCCCGTGGGCTCGTTGATTGACTTTGGGGCCAAGCCCTCTGTCTCCTCGCCGCTGGAGGCGCCCCCGAAGCTGCAGGATGGGGACAGCTCCCCAGGAGAGGGCGCCTCGGAGAGCGAGACCACGGAGTCGGCAGACAGCGAGAACGACATGGGCGAGTCGCCTTCTCACCCGTCCTGGGGCCAGTACCGCCGCTCCTCCTCCAACGAGTCCTTCTCCTCCAACCAGAGCGCCGACTCGGCCAAGGACGAGGAACCGCCGGAGCTCCGCGACTTCATGCGCAGCTACGTGGAGAAGATCTTCTCTGGAGGGTAAGCCCCAGCCCTCACCGGCCGCTGGCGCCTCCCGGACCCAGCCCCACCCGCTGCTTGCAGACCCCCTTGGGGAGATCCCTCCGCTTAGGGCTGGGCTTTGCTTCCTTTGCATCTGAGGTGAGCCCCATGGGCATGCCTTCCGAGGTGTTATAGCTGACAGCGAATTAGGGGTGCTGCAAGCCCAGGGGGTTTCAGGTAGCCATGCCTCTTGGTACCCTGACACAGCTGCTAGGATGGGGACTTGCCCTCGCACCTTTCTCTGGCCTCTCTTTGGTGGCTCCTGACAGTTTGAACAAGGAGCGTTGATAGCTGCGGCTGAAGTAGAGGCTGGACCTGGGAGTCTGTTTCACAGCTGTTAGCAGCTCAGCAGGGGAAAGAGAAACATTGTTCGGTTCAGGCCTCAGGTCTCGTTGTTGGTCTTGCATCTTTCACAGCAGCACGTGAAATGCCAAAGGTCCCTCCTCAGGAACCGCAGCATCAGCCACATGGTGGGGGGAGGGGATTGTTAGAACCCCAGAGTTCCCGGGCCCCAGCCAACCCGCTGAGTCAGAATCTGCATTTTAACAAGGCTTCTGAGATGGGCACATGTTGTGGCCTGAGGCGCTCTGGCCAAAGGGACCCTTTTCCAGTTTCATTAAAGCGAAAGAAGGATTTCTGCCAGTTGACCACACACAGCGGGGATGTTGGTTCCTGTTGTGCTTTAGCCCCTCGATGGTTAACTGGCTGGGTGATTTCCACCTTTTGCAGATGTGGCTGTTTTCTCTGCTGTTGGAGAGGGAAACGGTTTATTAGCATCCTAATAATTGTCCATCCCCCAAATGCTTTTATGTGTGATTTTGAGTGCATTCTGGGAGAGCAGTAGATGTGGCCTCCTACTTATTTTGTTTGACTCACACTGAAATTAGTCAGCTTTCTCCGAGCACACCCAATTAATGAAAAGAGGAGAAAGCCCAGAAGCTCACTGACTTGCTAGGAAGGCCAGTCGAGATTTGTGGCAGCCTGTCTGTTGGCAGTATGGAACCTGGACAACTGAGTCAGATGCCTTGTCGAGAGCATTCATTCCAAAGCTCCATGCACATGCCTGGCAAATTCGTACATTTCATCTGGTGTTGGTATTCTGCGATAAATGAGGCCAAGATGTTTTCTGTGAAACCTTAAATAAATGACATTGCAGAAGCCAATTGATCTTCAGCCTTCTGCTACCCCATTTTAGTCATTAAATTGGGGATAGAGTACTGACCCACCCACAAAGGTGCCTGGAAGTGGTTTATATCAGGTGAACGTGTTGTCTACCCTGGCGGTGGTGACTCGCAGGCCTGGGCCACACTCCCCGGTCTTCAACCCTCACACACAGAGCTGGGGAGCATCAGAGAGCAGACTGGCCTTTCAGAAGTGAGTGGAGTAAGCAACCAGTCCCTCTGATGGCTGGAGGGGCATCAGACCGTGGGCTGCTGAGACTGAACAGGTTAGGAATTCTTAACTCCAGTGGGTGGCTCCATACCTCATCAGCTTTAGAGATGAGGTGGGGTCGGGTGAGTTGGAGAACCCTGCTGTCAGAGGCTGTGGACCTTGTGGGTGCCGAACCTCTCTGAGACGGGAGGTCTCGTGGACTTTGGAGCTAGGAAGTCTAGATGGGGCTCCCACCCGCTACTCCACAGCTGTGTCTGATCCTCGAGCCAGGCTCCTCTTCTTGGAAACAACAATAATACCATTTCCTCTAGGGGTTGCCCAGGGGCTGAGATGTGCACCTGCACTTGGCGGAGTGCAGTACCTTCGGGGAGCCGAGGCGAGGATGGGGGTCCAGGGTCCAGCGTCACCTGCACTTAGGGGTTCCTGTCCTTCCTCTTCCCCGACTGTAGTCCTAATTTTAGTTCCAGAGGAGTGAAGCTTTCCTGTCTTTCCCCTCTGCCCTCTTCTCCAGGGAGGACTTGGACCAGGAGGAGAAAGCCAAGTTTGGGGAATACTGCAGCAGTGAGAACGGGAAAGGCCGGGAATGGTTTGCCCGGTATGTGAGCGCCCAGGTAAGGGGGTGACAGGGCTGTGGGGTGGGGCAGCCCACCTGCTCTGGAGAAACGACCCCACAGGAAAAACATGTGAAGCTCATCTAGAGATGTTTCGAAAAGGCCTTTTTAGAATAGTGGAAGATGCAGCCTGTTCTCTCAGCCACATGAAGTTCCAGATATGTTTGTCTTTTTAAAGACAAGCACATGGGCTGTGTCCCTGCATGTTTTTATTAAAGAACCCACAACATTCAGTTTTCATTAAGTATTCAAGACAATGACAGCCGTGTAAGCTCAGATAAGAAGTTTTGTAAATAGCCAATAGGTACTTTTTTGTTTTTCCTGTAAAATGGATGAAGTTCTTAGTTTTTAAAGTACTTTTTACTAATACAACTTTGCAAAGCAATTATGCTCCGATAATAAAATTTTTGAAAAAGTATTTTTTTATCACAAATAATTTATCCTTACAATACAAATTAGAAAATGCTGGTAAGCAAAAGTAGAAAAACTGCCCATAAATCCCCCATCCAAAAAATAGCTAGCCTTGTCACCTTGGGGTTGCATCCTTCCACTCTTCCCCATCGGTGGGTGAGTGGGTGAAGTTCCTAGCTTTTAAAATCTCACAGAGAGACACAGGGAATGATGTGGGGCGGTCTGGAGGGAGGGCAGCCCTCTGCTGAGTCCAGGTTTCTGTGGAGCAGGGCTCATGCTGGGCCTGCGCGGGGCTGTGTGTAGAGATGCTCGGCACTTGGAGATGCTGTGGTGAGCCCGCAGCCCCTCTGAGCCGAGCACGGCTCTGCCAGCGGCTGCCTGACCGCCTGCCCTCTTCCTGGATAGCGCTGCAACTCCAAGTGCGTCTCGGAGCCCACCTTCTACCGCCTGGTGCAGTCCTTTGCGGTGGTCCTGTTTGAGTAAGTGATGCTGCGGCTCAGCGCCTCTGTCCTAACTGCTCATCTTTCCTCCCCCTCCCCCCCGAGAGACCCCAGCTGTGGTCTCTCCACACACACGCGTCATCAGCTTGACTGCTCTGACGCCCCCCAGCATCTGCTGGGAGTCGTGACCAGCATCTCACGGGAGAGTGCAGGGTCCCATGAGAGGAGAGGGCCACAGCTGGGCATGAGTCAGTCCCCCCTGCCTGTTTGGAGACAGGCTGTGATTCCACGGCCCGCCCTGCCCTCTTCCAGCCCAGATTAGGGTTCTCTGGACTTCCTGTAGTCCATGCACCACACACACTCTCACCGCCCACTAATGAGATGGCTGGATGATGTCACCTGCCCAGACTCCTAGTGAGGCACTGCTGGGGCCTTTTGTCTCAGAGGGCGTCCTGGACCATGTGGGCTGGGGAGGAAGCCCACTGTCAATGTGTGGCCGTGGAGGCTGGTGGATGAGTCATGGGGCTCCCGCTCCTGAGGTCTGGGGCTCTAAGACTCCCGACCTGCTTCAAACGCCCTGACTTGCATTGGAGTTGGACATGCCCTCCACAGTGTGAACCGGAGGAGCTGTGTCTGCCTGGGGGTAACTAAGTAGTGACTTTAATCATGGGGTGGGTGCATGGGAAACCAGGGGCAGAGGGAAGCCCTGACTCTGATCTGGTCATCATTTAAGCCCGCTTGCCCCCATCAACTCAGCGTGGCCTCGGAGCAGGTCTGTGGCTGGTCTGTGGCTTAGGCTGTAGCCACTTTCCTGTGTCTCCCCACCTTTTTCTGTTCCCATAAACACAGGGCATGGACTGGAGGAAAATTGCCAAAAGCAAGGAGCCCCTGTTTTTCTTACACTTGCTCAGAACGTGCCAAGTTCCGGGTGTGCTCAGGAGGAATCCAGATCTGGGAGCTGGCCTGGGCGGAGAGGCCTTGTGGAGGGAGCCGAGGGCCAACATTCTCCAGGGGTGCATCGGGAGCTGCACAGAGCAGCCCCAGGAGGTCGGGGGTCAGCACGCTCTCCCGCCCTGAGGACATTTTGACCTCCAGACATTTGTATCTATAGGAACTTTCATGAATGTATACTTTTTCTATATGGTGTCCCATATGGTATGCCCCATATGGTAACATGCCTATCTAATTCTCCATTTTTCTTTCAATTATTCCTTAAATAAGTACACTGGGTGGTTGGGGGAGTTAAATTTTAAACACAGACTCCTTCCATGACTTTGTTTGTGAGCGTATATGTTTTTTTATGGTTGCAAAAAATTTTTATAGAAATGTAGCTTTTTAGATTTATTGGATTATTTTTATATTAAATGATAAAGTGCCCTCATTCCACTGTTTAGATAATGTCTGTTGATTTTCATTTTTGAAGTAATACTTATCTGAGGTGAAAAACTAAACAGGAAAGAAAGTGCATGAGGGGACAGAATGGAAAGCACAGAAGCCTAAGAGGAAAAGGAAAGCTTCTCTCACTTCTAGTCCATCTCCCAGTGACAACCCCACTCCCTAAAAACGCACGCACCAGCAAGGGCATACTTCTTCTAAAAAGGCAATCCCATGCGTTTGCATTCAGTGGTGCATCTGTCATGGCTGTGAGGTGTTCTAATATATGAATGCATGACTATACCATGATTTACTCAGCACCTGCCCCTGTTAACGGGCTTTAGCTGATTCCTCCTTTTCTTCTCTAATTCATGGTACTGCAGTTGACATCCGGAGAAGGCAATGGTACCCCACTCCAATACTCTTGCCTGGAAAATTCCATGGACGGAGGAGCCTGGTAGGCTGCAGTCCATGGGGTCGCGAAGAGTCGGACACGACTCAGCAACTTCACTTTCACTTTTTACTTTCATGCATTGGAGGAGGAAATGGCAACCCTCTCCAGTGTTCTTGCCTGGAGAATCTCAGGGACGGGGGAGCCTGGTGGGCTGCCGTCTATGGGGTCGCACAGAGTCGGACACGACTAAAGTGACTTAGCAGCAGCAGCAGCAGCAGTGGACATCATTATAGCTCTGCAGCTACAGAGTCTCAGGGGCAGGCAGGTCCTGTTTTTGAAGTTTTTTCCCCTTTTTTTGTTTGCTACGTTGAATGGATACATGTGTATCTCATACTCTCAATATAGTAAGTACAGTCCTTTACATCTGTAGGACATCTTCTCACCTAGTGCAGATTCTGGTATGTAATCGATTACTTTGATTTTCAGCAAGTGGTGTAGGATAGGTAGACATTCATATTCCCAGTCATTCTCAAAGTGCTGTCTCTGGGCCAGGACCCTCAGAACATTAGCTTCCCAAGGCACTTTGTTAGAAAGGCATGTTCTCGGGCCCTGCCTGAGACCTACTGACCCAGAGACTCCAGGGTGGACCCAGCAATCCACATCTTAACACGCTCTCCAGGTGACCCTGGTACTGCCCACGTCTGCGTATCACCCAAGCCCATGCTCCTTCCCGAGAAGTAGGGCCAGACGCAGGTTTAGGCCTAAGATCCGAGGCCCGACCTCCAGTTCTGGGGCTGCCCCTTGGGGCGGGGTCAAGCTTCCTGGGCCCTGGCTGTCCCACCTTGACAGTGAAAGAGGTCAGGTAGATGGATGGCGAGGGCCTTCCCACCTGGAATCAGACCTTCTCCCAGGCTGTGTCCTTGGACCCGGGGAGCTCTTTCTGTGGCTTCTCCTCCAGAGCATCAGGTGGGTGAGGTAACAGTTAGACGTGTCTGTGAGTATGTTGGTCCTCTCAGGAATGTGCAGAGGGAATCGGGTGGAGGGACCCATCAGCCATTCACCACTCTTCCCATTTCAGGTGTCACCAGATGGACGACTTCGGGCCTGCCAAGAACCTCATGACCATGTGCTTCACCTACTACCACATCGGTGAGGCCCTGGCGCGGCTCATGGGGAGGGCGGATCCTCACCATCCAATGCCCGTCGAGTGGCGCTTTCTTTTTTACTTAGTTTTTACTTTTTGGCTGCACTGCGTAGCATGTGAGATCTTACTTCCCTGACCAGGGATCGAACCCGCAGCCCCTGCAGTGGAAGCACAGAATTTTTATCACTGGAACTCCAGGGAAGTCCCCAAGTGGGGATTTCTTAAGGCAAAGCTGCGGGGCGTCCAGAAAACAAAGGGAGCTGGTATTAGGGTGGGGATGAGGAAGAGGGAGACTCCTAGAACAGAAGGAGGAGAAGGGTCCACAACATGGGTCGGGAGGCTGAGGGTCCGGCTGTGAGGAAACGAGAAAGTGGACACACGGGGCAAGATGTTTTAGGGTGGATGCCAGGATGGCTGGTGTGAGGATGTCCAGGTCTCATGTTCTGGGTGAACGTGAACGCAGGGTCAGCTGAGGGCAAGGGTGAAGAGGAGCAGCCCGGGGCTGTGGGCTGGAGCTGTCTCTGAGCAGAGGGCAGGTTGACCTGTGCTGGCTTGTTGCCCTAGGGCCTCCTGTGCATTGCAGCTGGAGGGCTCCCCTGTTAAGCTCCTTGAGCTGTGACCACAGACACTTGTTCAGGCCTCCTCAAGGAGAGGGCTTCTGGGGGCCTGCCCAGGGGCTGGAGCTGGGTCAGGGCAGCGCTGGCACCGTGGGTTCACTCTCGAATCCCCTTCCTCTGCGTCTCGACTCTGTCCTCCCCTCCCCAGCTGTGCACAGCCCACCCTCTCCCCACCCCTCTGTGCTGCTGTATCTATGGCCTGACTCCTCAGCTTGGGGCCCTTTGACCTGAGAGAGCAACCTGGGCCTGCGGGGCTGCCTGGACCTTGGTCGGTACACGGTCTTGGGGAGGGACATTCCTCCTTTCTCCTGGCTGCCCTCCTCCACCGTCTCCCGAGCCCAACACTCTCCTGTTTCAGGCCCGGCCCGGGTGCCACTCAGCACACAGTGTGTGCTGCCCTTACCTATGTGCGTGCTCACCTGCCTTCTGGCCTCAGTGCCTCTCGGGGGCTGGGTCCCTGCCTGTGTCCTCCTCCGTCCCTGGTGGCGCCTGGCTGGCCTGGACACAGGGGGTGCATAGGGTCTGCCTGAGACAGCAGGGCCCAGGCCCTGTGTTTGCTTGCGGGCGTCCCTGAGCCCCCCATTTCCCGTCAGCATGTCCAGCAGTGGCAGGGGAGGCGACCCCGGCCTCCGTGGTTCCAGTCGTTCTCATCCCCGCTCTCCCACCGCCAGGTAAGCCGCACCTGCTCCCCGCAGAGTCCAAGGAGAAGCCGGCTGGGAGCATCGACTCCTACCTGAAGTCAGCCAACAGCTGGTTGGCGGAAAAGAAGGACATTGCCGAACGGCTGCTGAAGAACACGTCGGCCAAGACGGAGAACGTCAAGGGCTTCTTTGGACTGGAGACCAAGCCCAAGGGGCCCCCAGCCAGGAGGAGCGAGTGAGTGTGCCCCGCCCATGTGCGCCCCTCCCTGACCACAGGTGTGACCGGGAGGCTGCTCTCTGGCCGGGTGACCAAAGCATCTAAGCCTCCTTGGCTGTCACTGGGGCCTTAGAGCCACTCTGGGAAGCGCGGCTGCTTCCCCGCCCTCCAGAGTTTTCCACATCTCAGTTCTAAAAGACTGGCGATTGGTAAATGTAGCATTGATTTCATGCACATGCTTTCAGAAAACCACCTAAATGTACACATGGGTTATGAGACATAATCCTGTTTAAGCAATGTTGAAGGGTTCTTTGGGAAACTGGGGGCGGGGGGTTGTTTTGTCACTTCTGTGGTTTCTCTCCCCAAGGGAGGAAGAGGGCAGACCCCAGGAGAAGCCGCGGAAGACGGGTGAGTGCCTCCCTGGGCCCCAGGGCTGTGGGCGCCCGGTTGGCAGCACTGCAGCCCCTTGGGGCCTTAGCTCAGCCCACAGCAAACCAGCAACCCCCCAGGCAGGTCCCCACACATCTGGGGCTCCAGCTCCCCATAGCAGTAGACACTGTCCTGCACGATTCCCTAGTTGCTCTCCGCTCCAGTCTGTAGTCTCTTACTGAATTTCCATGGAAAAGCCACTTCTCTGGTGACCAGCTCCTCATCCCAGGGATGTCAAGGAACATTTCCTGGGGTAGGGGAGCCATTCCTGGGACCCTCCCTGGACTGAGTCCTCAGGCCGGGCCTGAGAATGTCGTTAATGATGTGGGCCTCGGAGCAGGTGCCCTGGGATTTCCACTGCATGTCTGTGTTACTCTGGGGGGACGTGGGGCCTGCCGGGAGGGCTGTTGGGGGATTTGCCCTGCTCAAGTCTCTCTCCCCATCCCACAGTGACTGTGTGCAGCCTGGAGGAGGAGAGGAAAGGAGAGAAGATCTATCTGTACACACACCTAAAGCAGCAGCCCATCTGGTAAGACCACCCTCCACCTGGGGGGCAGCAGTGCCAGCGCCCACGTCCCCATCAGAAATGACAATAGCAAGTGTTGGCGGGGATGTGGGGAAATTACAACCTCATACACTGCTGGTGGGACTGTCCGAGGCAGCAGCCACTGTGAAAGATGACCTGGCGGTTCCTCAGAGGTTAAACAGAGTTTTATCCAATGACCCAGCAATTCTACTCCTGAGTAGATGCTCAAAAGAATTGAAAACAGGTACTCAGGCAAAAATCTGTGCACATACATTCATGATAGCACTGTTCATAAGAGCCCAGAGGTGGGAACAACTTGATGTCTGTCCATTCAGATGCACAAAGCGTGGGCTGTTACTCAGCCATGTAAAGGCATGGGGCACCCACAGCGTGGGTGGACCTGGAAAACATTCTGCCAAATGACCAAAGCCAGACCCAAAGGACCATGCAGTGTATTTACATAAAGTGTCCAGGAGGCAAAGCCCTGGAGGCCAAGCGGATTGTGGTTGCCAGGATCTAGAGGAAGCGGGGAATGAGATGATGAAAATGTCCGAGAAAGAGATAGTGGTAATAGTTGCATAAGTCCATGAATATACCAGAACCCAACCCATTGAGTTGTAGACTTTAAAAGCGTGGGTTTTCTGGTATGTGAATTATGTCCTAGTTCAGCTCTTTTACGTATATAAACACCATACACATGCGAAGGCCATTGGATTGGGAGATCCGTGTTCAGGGGACATCCCACCTTCTGCTGTGAGCACACCCTTGTCCCTCCAAAGCCTCTCCATCCACGTGTTTTATTTTATTTACTCACAAGTTGGCAGCAGATTAGCACCTGGAACCCAGAGGGTGTCAGACGCCTCCCTCCCGTGAGGATCACAGTCTCACAGCATGAGAGCTTGGCACAAGAGGACAGGGCGTGGGAGACGTGTGGCTGGCCAGAGCTGGGCTGCTGCCGTCCGGAAGCCCGCAGACCCGGCCTGCAAGGCCAGGCTCGGGTGGCAGCAGAGAGGAGAAGCCCACCAGTCCGGGGCCCACGTCCATGATTTAACTCGGGCCCCTTTGAGCTCAGCTGGGCTGCTGTCTTATCTTCCGCTTCAGGGCTCAGCACACTGTCTGTGGAGGGCTGGGTGATAAATAGTTTAGGCTTTGTGGGCAAGCACTCCTCTCTGCCTCTGTAATGCCAAAGCTGCCATGGACAGGATGTAAGTGGGTGAGCGCGGCTGTGAGCCCTTAAAACTTGATTTACACAAAGACACAGGGTCCTAGATTTGGCCAATGTGCCATAGGTTTGCCGACTCTGATCTTTGGGAAGAACGGTTCTGTCTTGTGCGACCCTATAAACGAGTCTGCTCTCTGCACATAGCCTGTCCCTGCCAGGTTCCCGTTTCTGTTAAGAGATGGTGCTCTAGAAAAGCAGGTCTCCTTGAGGCCTCTGCTTCCTGTTGGGAGCCTCAGCGGGAGACCGAGAAGGGGAAGTGGCTTCGTCCTTGTCCTACAGGTGGTGGTTCCACCTTTGACCTGTTGAGTCCAGGTTATAGGTCCTGGGAGACATGCATATGACCCCAGGACACACTGCCGAGGCCCAGGGAACCAGCTCCATTGAGGGTAAAGGCACATAGGCCTTTATGGCCCATGTGGAACTAAAGTGGAGACTAAAGAGCCTCTTGATGAGGGTGAAAGAGGAGAGTGAAAACGCTAGTTTAAAACTCAACATTAAAAAGCCTAAGAACATGGCATCCAGTTCCATCACTTCATGGCTAATAGAAGGGGAAAAAATGGAAACAGTGACAGATTTTATTTTCTTGGGCTCCAAAATCACAGCAGATAGTAACTGCAGCCATGAAAGTAAAAGTCACTTGTTCCTTGGAAGGAAGGCTATGACAAACCTAGATAGCATGTTAAAAAGCTGAGACATCGATTCGCTGACAAAGGTTCATATACTGGAAAAACCATATTTTCCAGTAGTCATGTATGGATGTGAGAGTTGGACCATAAAGAAGGCTGATCACTGAATAATTGATGCTTTTGAACTGTGGTGTTGGAGAAGACTCTTAAGAGTCCCTCAGACTGCAAGATCAAACCAGTCAATCCTAAAGAAAATCAACCTTGAATATTCATTGGAAGGACTGATGCTGAAGCTGAATCTCCAATACTTTGGCCACCTGATGCAAAGAGCCGACTCATTGGAAAAGACCCTGATGCTGGGAAAGACTGAAGGCAGAAGGAGAAGGGGTGACAGAGGATGAGATGGTTAGAAAGCGTGAGTGACTCAGTGGACATGAACGTGAGCAAACTCCAGGGGATAGTCGAGGACAGAGGAGCCTGGTGTGTGCAGTCCATGGTTGCAGAGTCGGACATGACTTAGCATCTAAACAAGAACATGGGCCTGAGACCCACTTGTCCCCATCTTGTCTGTCTTGCAGGCACACGCTGAGGTTCTGGAATGCAGCTTTTTTCGATGCCGTCCACTGTGAGAGGAGAAAGCGGTCTCCCACGACCAGGTAGGAGCCAAGTTCAGGCCTACTTTGCCTCGGGAAAGAGGACCAGGGAGAGGCTTTTTTGTCCCGTTTCTGAAGAGGAGAGCAGAAGGACGGAACAGCTGAGTCCTCGCGTCTTGTGTTTCTTCCTCAAACCCTTCTGGCTCCGGTGCCCTGCAAGCTGCCTGAAGGGTCCTGGGCGCACAGCTTCCGGGTGGGGGGCCCAGCTTGCATGAGCGCTTCTCCCCCCTGGGGCTCTGGCATGACTTGGCCTGACCCTCCTCAGAAATGCGAACTCCCACTGAACGAAGCTCCTGGGGCCCCCTCGGACCCACTCTGACTGTCTCTGTAAGAACCCAGCTCCTAAGCTGGGACCCTGGGTGCAGGATTCACATGTGGGGAAGGCAGTCGCTACTTTCAGCTGCCTCCTCTGGGCTGCAGCTTCACTGGGGCCCCTTTGGAGACCCCCTTTGTAAACCATCAGCAGCGAGTAGTGTGCACTGGGGCTCAGCAAGCCAAGGTTGGTGCCTTCTCTATGAAGCAGTGGGGCGGGGAGGGGGCAGCAGCCTCCCAGGCCTGCGTCACTTTATTGGCCCCTCCAGTCATGGGACTTTGAAGTCTCTGCATCTCTTCTCGTTAATGAGATGAACCCCCTTCTCTTAACACTGGGGAGACCTCAGAACCTTTCTCCTGGCAGGAGAGAGGGCAGAGCCTGCTGGTTAAGACTTCAGTCCACTGGCACTTGGTGGATCTTAAGTGAAATCTTTCTTTTTGGGGGAGAGTCAGTAAACCCCCATGGGGGCGGGATGGCCTGCTGCGGCTGTGTGTCCTGGGAGGCAGGGGAGCACGTGGGGAGAGAGGTCCCGGACCGTTCCTTAGGATTCTAGACAGAATTCTCTGCTCTGCTGGGAGAGGCAGATGCAGGAATTGCCTGTAGGTGAGGGGGATCTCGTGTTGCTTTGCTCTCCGACTCCTCGACCAGTGCCCCCCACCCACCCGGAACCCCGTCTCCATCTCTGTCTCTGCTGTGATAACCCTCCTTCCGCGCTTGCTCTCTTTTTCCATCCACATATCTTGCATGAGTTTGACATGTTCCTCTGTTTACCTGTTTCTGCTGCCGCTCCAGAGGGGATGCTGGAGAGGAGGAGAAGAAGAGGTGTGTGTCCACGTGCCTGTCCCTGGACAGTGCGGGGGCCCTTCCAGGGCTGCTGGGGGAGGGCACCCAGGTGCAGGTGGGACTCGCAGTTTGCGGGCCCAGCGTTGGGACAGGCTGGTGATGGTGGGGAGCTCGCCCACGATAGAGACCTCGAAATGGCCAGGAGGCAGACAAAGCCCTCCAAGAACCCTGCAAGGCCTGGTGTGTGCCCCGAGAGGAGGGGACAGTGCGGTCTAGAAGGTCAGCTCTGACTGTGAGTGAGCCAGCCTCCACGGGCCACTCTGGCCCTCCGAGCAGGCCCCGAAAGCACACCCTCAGGGTCACTTGTCGCCCACTTGGTCATTGATCCTGGCTGGAGCTGCCAGTGCAGACAGAGGGCCTGTCTCCACAGTCATGTCCAGAGGCGTGGGGGCTCTGGCAGACCCTCACCCACTCGGACGAGTCTGAGGGTCCCAGAGAAAGGACAGCTGCCCCGTGCCCCCCGGCCGCTGAGTGATGTAGGGCCTGTGCCTATCAAGGGGCCCCTGAAGGCAGATGTCTAGGACCAGCTGTTTCCTGCGAGCCTACAATGGGCTCTGACTTTGTTTGAACTTGATATGTGTTAGAGTTCTTCCTAAGATATTTTTAGAGTTAAAGGCCTGCCTATTCAAAATATAATTTCTGATACAGTGCTTTTTTTAAATTTGGTGGAAATTTCCCAAAGCATGTTTCCTTTAATCAGTGATGTATTTTTAGTGCTTATTGTTCTATGTGAAATCTTGTCTCTCTTTTTTTTTTTAATGCAGCCTTATTATGGCTTTAAAAGGAGCACTTAAGCACAGCAGCTACCTCCGTTCATAAAAAGCCCCCGAGTTCCCACAGTCTCTCTAGAGTATAGGGTGATTAACCAGCCTTCCCAGAGTAAGGCTTCCCAGCACCGTGGCCCAGGCCTGAGAGGGTCAGAGCATCATGGCTTCTGAACCTTGTGAGGGCAAGTGAATCTCTGGGCCTGACAGGCCTCCTTATCCAGGGCTGGTGTGGTCTGGCCATGCATCTCCCAGACCTGCCCCCCGGACACCCTGAGATTGGGGGACCAGAGTTTGGCTCTGGGTCCTTGGGCAACCTTGTGTCTCCAGCGTGATTTCTCTCTGGCAAAGTCAGCTGGCAACACTGTCAGGATCCTCTCTGTTCTCAGGAGGCTTCCTGTTCTGTAACCTGCTCGTCACATCCAGATTCTCACTGTGGCATCTTAGACACATGACCTGCCCTCTTGTGGTATTAGACTTCCGCCAGTACTAGGCGTTGGACTCAGTTTTGAAGCATTGATTTGATTGTAGTTATTCCCTGATGGACCTTCCGCCTATTTCGTCAGAGATCAGATTAAATGTCCCAACTCTAATCCTCACCACAGCAAAAAAAGTCACCTCTGCAGCTACTGTCAGGACTACTGTGCTGCACAGCGGCAAGGAGCCACTTCCACATGGGATGGGGTTGTGCAGTGCACAACCTGTGCAACTGTACCCAGCGAGCCTGGTGGTGGTTTGGGGATTTAATGCCTGGACAGTCCTAAGGGTGTCCACCAGGGGAAAGGGGATGGGAAGGAGCATGGAATGGGATTAGCATAGTACCTGGAAGCACCTTCCAGGTATCTTCGTGGATGTTCTGCTAGCATGAGGAGACTGGAGTGACACCTCCTCCTGCCTCTGATGCGCCTTGGTGTCCTGTGGTTCCCACTCAGCTGCAGCAGCACGAGTGGGCTCCCTCGGCCTGAACAGTGGAGAGGAGTCGAGAGTTGATGTTCTTGGTTCTGTTCCTCTTCCTTTGGCTTCTCCATCACCCTGACCCCCCTCATACTCCCTCTTCTCTCCCTTTTATCTTTTTTCTCTCAACGCTGTTTTAATCAGACTCCTTGTCCAGAGTGTAATTCTTCAGGGGAAGTAGGCATCTACTTATTTCCCAGGTGGCCATGTGGCTGTCATGCCTGGGGGGACGGGGGTGGGGTGGTTGAGGGCTGACTTCCCCGGGCCACTGAGAATAGCGGTGCTCTGCTAGAAGGGAAGGGGCTGATGCCCTGAGGGATCGGGTGGGTTGGGCTCTCACTCGAGGACACAGCTCCTTAGGCTCAGAAGAGCACCCTCCCTGCCTGAGCCCTGACACCACGCTCCTGCACGGAGAACACCCAGCCCAGGAGCCACACGGGCCGTGGTCCCTCCTTGCAGGGTTTCCCATCTCTACGTAGAGGCTTCACTCCATCTTCACTGTGGTCACAGGGTAGCAGTCACTGGCCCTGGGGCGGCCATGTAGGGTGGGCCTTGGCCGGGAAGAAGCCAGGAGCAGGGTGAGTGGCAGAGCTGGGCCAGCCAGGCAGGCAGCATGTGGTCAGAGGCTGCGGACCCTGCCGGAGAGCCCGAGGCCTGGAGACAGTGGGCGGGGAGCCCCAGGGCCTCCTCCTTGCTGGGTTCTTGACTCCCACTTTTGTCAGACACTGGTGGGGCCCTGGCCTCTGCAGTTGTCCCTGCCTGTAACAGGAGCTGTGGCCTCCTTTGTCCTTGAACCTTAGAAAAGGTGGGGGACGGGATTCTCATCTCCTAGCAAATGTTCTAGGCGACCGCTAAGTGCACACTGTCTTGGGGCCCTGGGTCTCATATCTGCCAGGACAAGTTGATGAGTGTGTGTGTCTCGCTCCCCCGCCTTTGGGTAGGCTTCTTAGAAGCAGTGCCAACAGCTCTTCGGCCCAGGAGTCCCCTCTGTGTCAGGGAAGCCAGCACCTGTAGGTCAGAGCAGGGGAGGGTTGAGCGGCGGGGACACGGGCCTGAAGCCCCCCGCTGCCCCTCCTGTGCTTGCAGGGAGAGGTGGTGCCACATGACCCAGGAGGAGCGGGATGACAGCCTGCGGTTCAACGAGAACATTACCTTCGGGCAGCTGGGGTAAGTGCCGCCACCCCGGGGCACCCCAGGACGAGAAAGCGTGGCGGGCAGGGCCAGGTGCTGACACCGAGGCCCAGACTCAGTGAGGAAGGGCCAGGAAAGATGCTCCTCATGGGGGCTCCACTGGGGGAGTGCCACCCGTATGATGTCACACGCCCCTGACTCAGGGTTGTTACCACCGTGAGTTCTTAAATGTCTCAGAGGCACACGAGTCACTCCATCTGGCCTCCACACCGTTTCACGGTGAGCGAAGCTGGCAGGCTGAGGAAGCAATTTGGTTTTTACTTCTTTCTAATGATTCCTGGCAGGCTGCCTGTTGGGCCCCGGCTCCCTTCCCCCCAGTCCACCCCCCGGGAGGTGGGAGGGATGCCAGCTCACGGCCGTGTCCCTCCAGCACGTTCACGCACAACATGCTGGCATTCGGGCTGAACAAGAAGCTGTGCAATGACTTTCTGAAGAAGCAGGCGGTGATCGGCAACCTGGATGAGGGTGAGTGCTAGCCAGGCCGGCGGGGCTGGGGGTTTGGGAGCAAGTGGGCTGCATGTGGGATCCCCATCCCAGTCAGAGAATTACCCCTACTTTACTTCAAAATGGGACATTAAATGTTCCTGCCTGCCTAAGTGCATGGGACACTTTTCCTTCCATTTGGAAACCCAGTTCTGCTAGGTAGGACTTGCGGCTGGGGGGGGAGGGGCGGGGGCGGCGGTGGTTCTGCCCGGTCAGTGCTTAAAGGCAGGGCCCAAGTAAAGATGTAACTTGGCACTCAGACTCTGACCTTGAAAATGGGCAGACTCTGGCCCCAAGTTGCCCTCCTTCTAAGTGACCAGCATATGGCCTGCCTTGGTTTCTTGAACCACACTGCCTGGGAGGTTTGGGGGCGGGGAGGGGCAGGGGTCCTGAGGTTGGTTTTTCTAGAATCTCTGACTTCTGTAATGAAAGGAGATATATTGCTGATGTCAACTTCCCCAATAAACAGCTGGCCTTTCTGCATCATCCCACATGATGGGGATGCCTCCTCCTTGTCCCCCCAAAAGCCTTCCACTTAGACATGTATTTGGCTAGACCAGTATTGTCTAAAACTCCGCCGTGCACCAAGTCAAAGGGGGCCAAGGACAGGCGGCCTCAGGAGGTGCCCTGGACAGCCTCACAGTGCTGTCACTGGCCCTGTCGCCCAGCACAGGGCAGAGCACCATCCCCCCACCACGTGGCCCCTGCTCGGCCCCCAGGACCCAAGCCTGGCTCCTGTGACACGTTCCTGTCCCCACACCAGGCTGCTGGGCCCTGCCAGCCTGCCCTCTGTAGCGTCATTTCTGTGGGAAGGTGCAGCCTGGTTCCCAGGAGCCCACCTCCAGGCCGCAGGCACACCTGCGGAAGCTCGCCGTCACCTTGCCTGTGAGAAGACCCTGCCTGCCTGCGCCTCCCTCTCCCTCATAAGGAATAACGTTGCTCTCTCTTGCAGAGCAGTACAAGCTACTGAGCGACCACATCGAGCAGATGGCCGCCGAGTAGGCTACGGGAGGTGGCCCAAGACTCCCCCAGGAGGACTGCAGCTGGCTCTCACCCCCCCTGCATGACATCGGCAGCACCCATGCCGCCCTAGAACTAGCGGTTAGAAGAATCTGGTTGCCCATCCTCCCCGCCTCCCTCTGCCTGTGTCTGCCCCCCACCTGCGTGCCAAAGTGCCCCTGGGATTACACAGCTAAAACCGAGGTGACTGTCCATACCCCCGAGTGGCAGGCCTGCGACATGGGACTGAGGGGGCACAGGAGGAAGGATGCTGGGTCCAGGGCGGGCACGTGTCCATCACAGCCTCCTGCTGAGAAGATGGGGCATGTGGGAAGGTAGGGAAGGGCAGCTGTGAGCTGGCACATGTCAGCCCCATGCCAGTGACATGGGGCAGTTGGGAGTGAGGATCTGGGCCCCTCCCTGCAGGGTGGGACTACTGGGTTTCTCCCACAGCCAAGCAGAGCGGGGGTGGCCTCTTGAGTGTCAACCCGGCTGGTACTGGGTCCCCTCTCCGTGTGACAGAAGCTCCCAGAGGAGAGAGACACCCTCTATTTCAGGGCGAGAGAGAGATCGAGGCAGTGGACGGCTTTCTTGGCTGCAGAAGGCCCAGCCACAGTCAGGGGTGGGGGCGCCCGGGGACGTCACGGCTCCGAGTAGCTGTGTTGGACCCACGCGGCCCTCAGGTGTCTGTGTGAAGTGTCTGAGATGTTCCCGGTCAGCTGACCACTTCCTTCTGGGACAGAGAGACTTCCACCACTTGCTCCCTGGGGCCGTCTGTTCCATGATGAAGCCCAGAAAAGAGAATTTTCTTCAGCAGCTTCAAGACATCTGCCCTTTCTAAAAGCAAACAGTGCTGTTCTTTATTTTTAAAAGACAGAAAAATCTGTGTCAGTGTTACAGGCATCGTGGCCCAGGTGGCTTCTGGTGAGGACTGTGCAGTTTGCAGGGTCAGGCCCTCTACCCTGGCCGCCTGGGAAGCCTGCACCGCCCGCTGCCCGAGCCCTCAGGCCGCTTTCCCAAGGACTCTGCGGACACCCCCCTCGCCGTCTCGGGTGCTGGGAGCCAGGGGTCCTCCCCGCAGGTCTGTCCAGGCACAGCTGCCTAGCCCGAGGGACTGCGGTCTGGCGGCAAGCCTCCAGCATGCTGGCTGCCATGACCAGCCTGGCTCCAGGGCGCTGGCTTTGTGAGGCCAGTGGGGCTCTGTCCTTCCTGCCCTGGCCATCCATCCTGTGTTGCCACTCCACCTCCTGCAGCATGACAAACACGTCCGAGACTCAGCCCTCCAGGCGGAACTTCACAGGTTCCCTAATGGGGGATGCCTCCCTGAAATGTTCAAGAGAAGAGCAAGTGTTGGTTGAGCTGAGGAACGCACGTCCTGGTGATCATAAGAGAGGCGATGGGAAACACACAGGACCCGAGTGCATTGGTGTGAGATGTCCTGTCAGGAGACTCGGGGTGGGGGCTTGGGCTCCAGGAGCCCCGCTGTGTTCATGATGGCACACACACCCATGTGTGTGTGTGCGTGTGTGCGTATGCTGGCAGTCTCTCTGGCCACATCACTGAACAAAGCACAGTCATGTGGCTGGTTTGCCTGTCCTGTGTGGGGGCAGGCCACGCCGGCTGGAAACTGGCCCAGTGATCGGATATGTCTCTCCTGAATGCAGTTCAGAGAAATAACATCCAGCTCACGAGCGTGCAGGCCTTCCTCCAATGCCTGCTAGAGGTGATGCTGCCCCTCCTAAGACGTTCAACAACCCCCTGATGCTCTGTGCTGCGCGGCCCCCCCCCCCCCCCGCCATTGAAGTCAGGGCCATGCCCAGTGAGCAGCTTGTCTGAGGGCCTTGAAGGGACATCTCTCCACTGCGTGTCATAGGCTTTCTTAGTTTTTTCTTAGTGGTTAGTTGAAATGCATTAACACTTTATTCTAAGGTGCCCAAAAGACTTATCCTTGTATATATAAGATTTGTGTGGAAGTGTGATTCACTCTGATTTCTGGAGGAAGACAGTAGCTTCCGGGTCTTTCCAGGGATGCTGGGGACTGGAGGGCTCTTTCCCCCTGGGTGGGGTGGGAGGACACACACAAACTGGGAAGGAAATGCAGCTTTGACTTCTCCTAGCTTTTCCAAGCACTTTCACTTCAGGATGATCCTGAGACCTTTTTTTGTTTTTCCCACATAGGTCTCTTGCAATAGCAGTTGAAGGTAGAAACAAGGGTGGCTTTGGGTCTTTTCCCCTGCCCTTCTTCATATATTAATAGATCCAGCTCCTGAGAGAGTAAGTCTGACCCCAAAACTGCTGCCCGAAATGCTGAGCCCCATGAGTGGACACCACCAGAGACTGTGGGCCTCATGGAGTGGCTGACGTCTGCTGGTGGCTGGGAGGCTGCTCTGCCGTCTCCTCTTGGTGACTGTCTTTCTCCGAGCAGGTCACCTCAGGGTGTCTGGCCAGCATCACCCAGAGGAGGCACAGCGTCCCTAGCAGAAGCCAGCCGCTTGCCTCGCTGACACTTCCTCTCTGTGACGTGATCTTCCTTGTGAGGCCCGGCCAGAGCAGACAGACCCAGGCGGGCGCTCAGAGGTGCCAGCGTGTGAAGCAGTCTCACCCACCACATGCCCAGGAGGCTCTGCAGAAAGCGCTCTGCTGGCCCTTCCTGTAAACTCAGGAACTTCCTGTAAATTTAGACTCAGGGCAGGAAGCATCGGGTCGTATCCACAAGGAGTTTCCCATCCCAGCAGGTTCAGGGTCCCAAGCCGGAGCTTCAAAGCCCTGCGTTAGCAATGACATGGCGAGTCTCCTGCTGTCTGCCCTTCAGGGCTCTGTGAATGTAATGAGCCCAAACAGCTGATTCTCCCAAGTAAAAAGTACCCTGCTTTGCAAACAGGATTCTGTTGAGATGTGGCTTTGTGTGTCTTCATCCTTTGTTAGAGTTCTAGCAATATTGATAGGTGTTTAAGAGGGGCGTGCTAACATTCAGATTGTATCTGCTGTGTGTGCATGTTTAACCAAAGGCAGGAGAACCAAGTTCTGATACTGTAAGTTATTTGTACAATGAGATGGAGTAGACCGTGATTTTCCTATTGCCAAAAAACAAAACCAACCAGGCCAAGGAGCTCTTAATCTACTAAAAGAAGGACTAGAAAGAGAGTTCAATTTCTGAGATTTGTGCTCCAGTGAAACCTAGGAGGGTCAAGGATGGAGCCCCAAGGATGCAGTTCGAGATGCTGCCTGACCTCTTTCCTCCTTCTCGGAGCCCATACTCACCTCTCCCTCCCCAGTTAGATGGTGACTTCCACTGCCGTGGAGAGAAGGTGGCAGCCTTGAGGTGTGTTTTTCTGCAGGCTGTTTTAAGTGGGTTAATTTATCACCCAGAGCAGTGTATCCCAGCCTCCTGATGTGAGAAAAAGGTGTGTTCACACCACAAAGGAGTCTGTCAGGGGTTTTGTCAAACCCAGGTGACCACAACCGGAAGTCAGGGCCACAGCTTTGAGCCTGACCTTCCTGGGTGTCACTGCTCCCTGAATAGTTGGCTTTTTAGTTAGGGAGGATCTGGCAGGCCCGTGTGTGTGGTCAGATAAGCTGTGTGGCCAAACTACCTACAACTTGAGACAACTGGGCAGCCAGGGGGCGGAGTCATTTGCCAGAGGAGTGGGGAGATTGGGAAGGAAGGGGAAGGGCCCTGCTGCAGCCTCGGGGGAGGGGGCAGCAGCTGGGTGTCCCAGGCTGGTCACCCCACTGGCCACGCACTTCTTCAGCCACGGACAGAGCTACGGGTTTGCGGGTCCACAACCACTCGGCCCCAGGGTTCTTCTTCCCCCACCCACAGCCTTTTAGTTCCCTTGAGCCGCTGCTCCTACCACTCAGAGGTCTCGCCCCGTCTCCCTGGAAATCGTTTATTGCTTTTTATGACTCTCGAGGGTGAGATCTGCTTGACAAGCTTTTGACTCTCCCCTCTCCCCACCCCCCTTCAGGGGAATGGTGTTGGCGACAGTTCCGCTAATTGGCTGGTGTGTGACACTCAGACCTGGGCTGGAGCCGGGCCTTGCTCAAGCCACATGCCGCAGTACCTCCCTGTGGCCGTGTGGCTGGGAGTAGGGCTGTGAGGGTTATCCAGATAGCAGATGGGGGGAGCATTCCAGATGGTTCCCATCCAGGGGTACCCATCCAAGAGCGTCAAGATGCTCCTCATGGCTCCCTGGGCCTGTTCTGCTGGTGTCTCCCTGCTGTCCTTCCCCAAGCAAGCGCCTCAGACACCGTCTGCCTTGTCCCTAGGTGGCCTGGCTCCGGCCTGTGTCCCCAAGTCGGCTGGTCAGTCTGAGCTTGAGACGAGCAGAGAGCTGGGGAGGGGACCCTCCCCCTGGCTGTGTCCCCAGGATTCAAGGGGCCCCGCTCCTGCTGTAGAGTTCTCAGTCAGAATGGTCTGGGTTTGCTGTGTTCCCATCGCTTCTCACAGGACCTCTGTGCAGGCGGGGTGACCTGCATCCTGGCCTTGCCTGCAGGGCCAGACCAGGGCGCTGTCTCTCATCGCCCTCCTGAGTGGTATGCTGAGCTCGGAGGAGGGCTCCTGCTGGTGATGCCCCTTGGAGCCTTAGGGGGGCTACGTCTGTCCTCTCCTTGGTCCAGGATGATATGCTTGTGGAAACAAAAGAGAAGTGCTCAGCGGGCTTCGTTCCAATGCACGGGCCCACATGAGGGCCCTGGTCTGTCCCTGTGCTGGAGGCTTGGAGTCCCATGGACACCTTGAGAAGGACAGGCCAACCAAAGGAGATGCTCACACTCAGACGGCAGGCCCTTCCCCTTAAAGTGTGAGAGAGCTGCGTGGCCCTAACCATGGCCTCTGGGGCTGCAGCAGGGTCTCCCATGTGCTTTCCCTGTTTCTCTCTCGCCCGTTGGTCTTGGACTCGAACATCCCACTGGCCACTTCCACACATTGCCCTTAGTGACCCAGAAATCAGGGTCAGTGATTCGAGTGTGTTATGTGTACGGTTTTGCAGTCTTATATCTCATGAGGTTGTGTTCTACAAACTATGTTTTCAGGTGGAGAAAGTTTCAAGATTGAGCTCTCAAAACAGCGCTAAAAATCAAAGCTGTTTCCTGTGAAGAAAAAAAAAGTCCATATATTTCACCTCAGATTGTCAGAAGGTGGAAACTGAAATAAATTATCTCTGAAAAGGAAGTCAGTCTGTTGATGTTGAATTTTTGTTCTCACATACCCATGAGCACCTTTTAAAATGGAATTTGCAATCTTCTCACTGACAGCAGTGGCTTTTCAGAAGAAAACACTATTTTCTGGGGTCAAGCAGTCGTTCTCCCCACTTAGACCGAGGAGCTGAGCATTATGTAGACGTGTGTGTCTCATGGGAAGACTAAGGGGCAGAAGCATGTCCACTGTGTTGCCGCTGGGCATGTGTTAGTGAATAGAGGAGGCTCGGCCCCCGGGATGCCTCCACCCCCTTCCAGCTGGCATCCTGGTCTTGCCTTTGAGCCCCAGCTGCCTCACTATTTCCCTCTGGGGGCCGAAGGGCTATGGTACTGCTCCTGCCTGACAGCAACAGGACGCTCTTGTCAGCCCTTACGGCTCGGTTCAGCAGGCATGGTTGTGAAATGGTCACCTTTCTCTCCTTCTGGTTCTAAGAGAACCTGAAAGCTATGCTCCTTCTGCCCTTGCTCACCCCTCCTCCTCCCACCTCCTGGGCTCAAAGGAGGGAAGCTAGGGATTTTGTTCTCACAGGAGAGAGCCCATGAAGCTTGGCCAATGCCCAACTCTGGAATTAGGGACGATTGGTCTTTTCCGGGCATGCTGGGGCCAGAAGGGGAGGGGAGAGGCCCCTTATGCCACCAGCTTACCTTTAATGAGCTCATACTATGTGCCAGGTACCACCAGGCTCCAGGACCACAAGATGAACGAGCAAAGTCATTTTCCTTCAGGAACTCTCAGTGGGGTTGAGACAGCTGAGGTTAAAAAAGGTACATTTGTGTGTGTGTGTGTCTGTGTGCATGTGCACACACAGACTGAGTATAAAAGTATGAGATAGTATTTTACACATATAGTATAAAATGTGATATTATATACAATTAATATAATATTTCATAAATTATATAATATAGGAAATACAGAATGTTTTGGTTATTTTTGGAGTGAGTGTCCTTCCTGGTAGAATTAAGGTGGGCTTCCCCAAGGAGGTATCTTGGAACTGGATTTTGGGTAATAAAAGATAGTGAGGATGTTAATCCTGTGGTGATCACATGAGGAGGGTTTTAGTTTTTAATTAAACTTTAATTGAAATACAGTTAATTTACAATGTGTTTCAGGCATATAGCAAGGTAAATCAGTTTTATATATATGTGTATAAAATAAGTTCATCTGTATCATATTTTAGATCCCACATATGTGATATCATATGATATTTGTCTTTGTCTGACTTCACTTCACTTGGTATGATAACCTCTAGTTCCATGCATATTGCCAGATAAATGGCATTATTTCATTCCTTGTTATGGCTGAATAATATCCCACTGTGTAAAATGTGATGATATATAAAACAATCAATGATGTGTGTACCACATCTTTATCCATTTCTCTGTCGATGGACATTTAGAGTGCTTCCTTGACTATTGTGAACAGTCCTGCTAGGAACAGGGATGCATGTATCTTCTGTTCTTTTCTTTTTTTTGGTGATGCTGGGTCTTAGTTGCTGTGCACAGCCTTTCTCTAGTTGCAGTGAGGGGGGCTACTCTTCATGGCGGTGTGTGGGCTTCTTCCTGCAGGGGCTTCTCCTATTGTGGAGCATGGGTGCCAGAGCGTCAGCTCCATAGTTGTGGAGCACAGGCTTAGTTGCTCCGTGGCATCTGGAATATTCCCAGACCAGGGATTGAACCCATGTCCCTTGCATTGGCAGGTGGATTCTTAACCACTACCACCAGGGGGTCCCCGCATATATCCTTCTGAATTATAGTTTTGTTTGGGTGTATGCCCAGGAGTGGGATTGTGGGATCTTATGGTAGCTCTACTAGTTTTTTGAGGCACTCCATACTGTTTTCCACAGTGGGTGCACCAGCTTACATTCCCACCAACAGTGTAGGAGGATTCCCTTTTCTCCACACCCATAAGGAAGGTTTATTTTTCCCACTTTGCTGACGAGGCGCTCATGGTACCCCTACGGGGAACTGAATCAGCAGCCAGCCGGCCCCAGAGCCAAGCGTCTCTCCTGAGAGGCTGCAGGACATCCTCTCCCCAGTAGAGGTCTCCAGGAGGCAGTGGGAGGTGTGCTGAGCCTGGAGTGACCCAGCACTCGGATGCCCCCCACACTGTGAGGGATCTTCTCCCCAAATGTGCACACCCAGAGGGCTCTGGCAGTTAGCTGGCCAAGTCTGTGGACCCCCACCCTCCCTTCACTTCGGTGATGTGTCCCTGGTCCCAGGGTTACACACCCCAGAGCCCCTCTCCCTCCCTTTGTCTTTAAAAACCCTCCCCTGAAAGCCGTGGGGAGTTCAGGCCTTTTGAGCACCACCTGCCGAGGACTCTTTGCTTGGCACCTGCAATAAGCACTTCACTTTCCTTCACCCCAACCTGGTGTCAGTAAAGTGACTTTACCGCACACAGGCAAATGGACCTGGGTTTGATTCGGTAACACACCAAGCTCTCAACATTAACGCAGGCTTAAACACGCTGGAGCCCTGGTCACAAAACAGGAAATGAGACCCAGTATGAGTTAGAGTGAGAGGTACCCATGTTTACTGAGCACCTGCTGGGCACCTTGGTCCCCAGGGCAGCCTGTGAACCAAGGGATATGTTCCCTGTTGTACAGATGAGGAAACCGGGACTCAGAAAACACATGACTTGCATACAACAGAGCCTGTGAGGGTCCAGTGTGAGCCCCACCTCCCGACTGGGGGTTCTCGTCCTACTGATGGGGCCGCTGTGCCTGTCCCCTGAGGTCCTCCACGGGGTCCTCCTCAGCAGAGTCGTCCTCACTCACTGCTTCCTTTCTCTGACTCTGTATGGTGCTCTGAGCACTCTAAGAAAGAATAACAGTAACAATAATAATAAAATCATCATCATCGCAGCAACAATAGCAGTAATAATAAGAATGGTAACAAGTATTATTTACTAAGTGCTTCAGGTAGATGTGTTCACCTAATTGGAGAGAATTATTCAGCAAGTATGAGACACCCCTCGTCCCCGCACTGTGGTCCCCTGAGTTCGCTTCAGGTGGGTCCAGGTCAGACTCAGGGCCACCCTCGCACCCCGTAAGCAGCACCTCCTTCTCAGACCTGAATTCTCGGCTGGCTTCTGGTCTCTGGTCACTTCACCTGTCACAGGCTTCACACTCCACCCAGTACTCACCTGGGCAAGAGACCATGGGAGAGCTGGGGACAGGGTGGTATCCGTGAGTGGTGGCCGAGCATCGTAACGCCCATAAACTCCATGCATCTTGGCTCTAAAATCCTGTCGGGAGAGTTGGATCTGGTCAGGAAACAAAGTGGTGGGAGCAGGAAGGAAAGACAGCAAAACCAAGAGGCTGGTGCAGAGGTAACTGCTGGGACTGCCACCTGTACCAGGTCCATCTGGGAGCTGCCTATTCTTTATGCCATATGATCTGCAGCAGACTGGTGAGTGGGTATTATCATCACATTTTACAGATGGGAAAACTGAGACCCAGAGAGGCCAGGTAATGAGTCCATAGTCCCACAAGAAGATCACACTCCCCCCATCACCAAAATAGAGATAAGTGAAAGCATCAAAGCCTGGCCAATCTTCACTGACCGTCCTGTGATGGTTTTACAGCTCATCCACAAATTCTTTGACTTCTCCCATCAGGAGCTGGACTATAATTCTCCTCCCCTTGAATACTGCCTAAGTGACACACTTCTAAGAGACAGAATGTGGCAGGCCTGTCACAAAAGGTGACACAGTGTCCACTCGTTTCTGTCTCTGATGCTCACTCTTGAGTCAACCGCCATGATGTCAGAAAGCTTACGCCCCATGGAGGGGGCATGGGCAGTTATTTGGGCGCAGACCCCACTGCAGACCACACAGGGTGGGCCTTGTGGGGGTACAGCTCATGCACTTTTCCAAGGGTCCCAGCTCAGAACAACTCTGCTATCTTGGAAGTCTTAATAATTACTTAACAAAGGGCCAGTGTCTTCATTTTGCCCTGAATTTTGTGAATCATGTCCTGGACCCAGATGACAGCCACACGTGAGCCGGGAAGCCTTTGAAACCACTCAAGCTCCAGCTACAGACTGGCTGAAAGACCCAAGTGACAACGACCCAGATGAACCCGCCAACCCTAGAACCACAGCAGATAATCATGGAAGATAATCGCTGTGCTGCTTTTACCATGAGGCATGGCGCGGGACATTGTAGATAACTCAGAAGGCTAATGTTAAATCTTAATCACATCAGATAAGGACCATAAGCACTTAGACTACATGCAAAGTACAGCAGGCATCAGCCTGGAGATGCTTTTTGCTGTTGTTGATTCATTTGTTTTTAAACACCCGGGTGATGGTGATACTCACAAATGGTCCATAAAGATGGTGTTGGGGAAATTTTCCACCTCTGGTTCTGTGCCCAGGGGCAGATATTTAAAAGAGTTCATTAAAACCAGCCTTCAAAGTTTGAGAAATTACAAAATGTTGCCAAGAAAAACTGATTCTATCAAGACAAAACCAACTACTTGGCCACAAAAGAACTAAATAATGCCATTTGCAGCAACATGGATGCAACTAGAGATTATAATACCAAGTGAAGTAAACCAGAAAGAGGAAGACAAATACCATATGATATCACTTCTTTGTGGAATCTAAAATATAGCACAAATGAACCTATCCACAAAACAGAAACAGACTCACAGACATAGAGATCAGACTGGTTGCCAAGAGAGAGTGAGATAGGGGAGGGATGAATTGGGAGTTTGGGGTTAGCGGAGGCAAATTATTATATATAGCATAGATAAACAACAAGGTCCTACTGTATAGCACTGGGAACTGTATCCAATCTCCTGGGGTAAACCAAAATAGAAAAGAATATTTTTAAAAAAGAACGTATATGTGTGTAAATCTGAGTTACTTTGCTGCACAGCAGAGATTGGCACAACATTGTAAATCAACTATATTCAATAAAAAAAGACAAAAACAACCCCCAATTCAGCCCCACCCCATAAACAGGAGATGGGGTGTCTGTGACCCACCTCCAGATCTTTCTCCAGGTCATAGCTCTCCAGAGTCTGGAAGGCATTGGAATACACCTCCACTGCTTTGGCATGGAAGACCATCTCAATGGTCACAAAGTCCGAAAAAATTTTCTGTGGGGAGAGAAACCCAAATCACATAAGTAACGCTGTCAGAAGGACTGTTCTGGGCTCACCTCAGATGTGGACCAACCAGGGGCAGATCCTAGGTGGGGAATTTCAATATATTATTTCTAATTATTTTTGTTTGAACCGTTAATGCATTCCCATAGTTCAAAAATTGCACAGGGGTTGTTCCAGAAATGTGTGAGGTCTTGGGAACTTTCTGAAGGGTGTACTTTTTTCAGCTCTTGTCCAGCTGGTCTTCCTCACTCAGTGCTTGTTTCTCTCACTCCAAGGACTGGTGTTTGAAAATTGACAGCTACAAACTTTCAGCCTCTATCACCCACAGACTGGAAGTGAGCCTCACAGGATGGGGAGGGGGTGCTGCTGGTAAGACACTGCCAGGCCCACTGGCCCCACAATCTGATGGACCAGTTTGTCAAAATGTTGTTAGTGATAGAGTTTTGCTTCTCTAGATCAGATGGTTTGGCTTGGCTCAGTAAACCCTCACAGAGCTCCTGCTGTGTGGCTGGCTCTGGTGGGGGCTCCTCCTCTGATTATTTCCAGCTACTACTCTATCTAGTAGCCCAGATAAGCTCCTACTATGTGCCAGGCCTGAGGGAAGGCTCCCACTGTGTGTCATGTCCAGCACAGTCTCATTGTGTGTCAGGCCCCAGTGGGGGTTTCTGCTGGGCCGTGAACCCAGCACAAGCACCTATTGTGCACCAGACCCGAGGGGAGGCACCTACTGTGTGTCAGGCCCCTCCTACGTGCGTGCTCAGTACAAGCTCCCACTGTGAAGAAAGCCCCATCAGGACACACGCTTGGTGTTGGGGCAGGAGCCCCGCAGTTTGGGAACATGCCTCTTCCGGTCACATGGGAAGCACCTTGGGGAGGCGGACCAGAGAAAGCCGCAAAGCCACCTGGGAGAAGGCGGCAGGGCAGCAGGAGCCGCAAAGCCACCTGGGAGAAGAAAGGCCTGAGGCGGTAAAGAGCGGGCTGGAAATTCCTGCTTCCCGCCTCCTCTCGTGCCCTGCCAGAGGCAGTGCTGGCGGTCAGGCGAGGCCTCGTTCTGCCCTTCACTGGCGCGTGTCCCCGAGGGAATGATGTTCCCTCTCAAACCTCAGTTTCTTCGTCAGCACGGGAGGGACAGGAGTGGTCCCAGTCACAGAGACTTGTGAGAGATTCAGTCAGGGCCGCGGCCCTCGACCTGTGGGCGCCTCGTCGACGCCGGCCTCACCTGGAGACCTGTCAGGGATGCAGATTCCCGGCACACCTGGGTCCACTGGCTGCGACCCCAAGGCGGGCCCGTCGGCAGCGTTTTAAGGCGCCCTCCAGGGGATTTCTGACGCCCTTGGGTAAGTGAACCCCCTGCACGGAAGCAAGGCTTCCGTTCTTTTCTCGGCGTCAGAGTTCATTTGTAAATATTTCATTAGAAGTGTGGCGTAAAACTGACAGAACGGTATTGATTATTTCCAGTTCGGGTTTTCATCTCTTTGAAAATGTGTTGGTTCTGGGAAGTGTCTCTTACAGATGGAATCCCCCAGACTTGAAGGACGCCCGCGTCGCCCCGCGTGCTTCCGCTGGCCTCTGACCGTGGAGAATCTTGTGCGCATGCGCTGGCTTCGGCAGCATCAGGTGTTGAATAGGTGCGTGCTGGTGGTTTTAGGTTCTGCCTGCAACGTGCATGCTTGAGCAGTCATTATCAGTGTTTCACTCGCTTCATTCGTTCGTTCTTTCATTCATTTCCCAAAAGTTTACTGAGTACTCGCCGAGTGCCCGGGCCTGGAGCTGGTGCCCGGGACCCAGGAGGGGTCGTAGCAGACAGAGCCCCTGCCTGTATGTGAGGCAGGCATGGAGCGGCGAGTTCTCCCGGACTCTCCACCACCCCATCAAGGGCTCCGCATGATCTGTCTCCCCCAAGGTGTCAGCCCTGTCAGGACAGGGCCTCTCTTGACTGGCTGTGGTGTCCCCAGCCTCAGGCATAGCGCCTGGCACATAGTCAGTGCATATTCAATATGTGTTCGATTCACCAGTGAATTAAAGATACAATGAACGCACCCTGAGGGATAACTGCGCACCCACCCCCGACCCAAGGGAGCGGAGCAGTGTGTGTTAACAGTTGATCGGACCAGGTCTGAGGCCCAGGTGAGTTTCTCTAAAGGACAAGGAGGTGTGGACTCGATGCAGAGTAATGCCAGAGCTCGGAGGAGGAGGACACAGCCTGTGCAAAGGCTCCCTGAGTTATGAAAGGCCTTGGTGCACGTGAGCTTAGAGTGGTGTGTCCAAGAGGAGGCTGGAGGGCTGGACTGGGGTTTTCCGGACCTTGGGAGGATTTCAGCTTTTCTGCTTGGAACAAGGGAAGCACAGAAGGGTGTTAAACCCACACCAGTGACAAATCAGAGCTGCCTTTTGTGAGATTCCTGGGGCTGCAATTGGAAAATGGATTAAAGGAGGGATCAAGAGTGGGTGCAGGGGCCTCTGTGACCTTCTTGCCCTTATAAACCCTGACTCCCTGGGGCCTCTGGTAAGAGCTGGGGTGCTGGGCCTGTCTGGGTGGGGTCTGGGTGGAAGGAGGGAGGCTATGTGTGATTGGGGCTTCACGGAGGAAAAGAGGCAGTCAGGGCGAGCCCTGAGGGTCCTGTGTGGAAAGGCAGGGGCCTGGGATAGACAGATTGCCCAATTCTCCTGGCGGGCAGGGCGCCAGCCGGGTGTGAGAGGCAGGGCTGCCAGTGCTGGCTTCCGGGCAGACAGCTGTGCAGGACAGCTGCCCAAGCAGCCGGCATCTTACTGCCCACGGCAGGATGAAGCCAGGATTTACTGTTCTGGGAGTCAGGGGCCTGAGAATTGGGCAGGCACAAGGTCACACACACACTGTCACAGGGAACACATGTGCACTCACACAGGTGCAAACACAAATACACAGACATACATGAGCAAACACACCAAAGGTCACACATGAGACAGCTCAGAGTACTTCCGACCGAGGACCGACCACCCCTACCTGAATGTCCTTCAGCTTCTGCTTCTGGAAGGTGTCCACTGTCTCCTCCAGCTGGTGGGAAGTACGGCTGGCATCCACTGAGGCCCTCTGCACGCTGGTCTCTGCCTGGCCCCAGAGATAGAAAGTGTCATGGGGACTCCATTCTGGATCATTCTCTGTTCCTTTGCCCTACTTTTGGGCCAGCTGTTCTGTGTAATGGGCATCTCTTGCCAATTTGGTGATTGAAGGAATGGCCAAGTAAAACCACAGCAAAAGGGGCAGCTGCCACTTGGACAGACCCTCTTAGCTGTGTGACCTCAGTCAAGTGGCTTAACCTCTCAGAGTCTCAATGGACTTGCTTGCAAACATGGGTCAGGAATAAGGCCTGCTTTGCAGGATTGTTCCAAGAATGAAAGAGTGGGAGCAGCTGAGCTATTATTCTAACTGTAACCTGTTAGGTACTCTACATTTGCTGATAATTAATTCCTACTTGTGGAACGATTTTAGTTGATTACTTTATTGGTTGCTTTGATTGAATCTCTATGACCTGACTCCATGGCAGGCCTGGCACGTGAAGGAGCACACAGAGCTGAGTTGGGGTTGGCCCCTTAGCTCTCTGTGATCTTGGGCAAGTCACCTTTCTCAATTTCCTCATCTACAAGTGCTTGCCTTCCACAAGCAGTAAGTAGGTGACCCCAATAAGGAAGCAGGCTGTGGTGAGGAGTGACTCCTTGACTTGCCTGAGTAGCATTGCTGATGGGACAGAACCCAGGTCTCCCAAGTCCCAACCGATGGCTTTCCCGACACCTCTGACCCTCCCATCCTGAGCCCAGGGCCCTGCGCACACCTGCCCAGGTAGAGCTCACCTTACCATTTTGTGAGTCTGTTCATTACCTGCATGTGAGCCTGCCTTCCTCACACAGATTTGTGATGCTCACCTGAGACTGAGAACAGTTTTGTTAGGGATCCAGGTTGACCAGCGTCCCCTGGGGTGGCCCACGCAGCCCCCACCCAGATGGTGCAATGACACACTGCCCTGCCCCACCCCCGCCCCTGCCTCGGGACGGATACGATGGTCTGTCTATCCGAGGGGGATTTCTGTCTCAGTTTCTCCAGTTTTTCCAGTTGTTTGATCTCATTGTTCCGGACACTTTTGAATTTCTTGATCTCAGCCTAAGGAAGGAGGAGGGTGGTTTCCTGAGGTCCCAGATCAGCCAGTGTCTCCCTCCCTGTGGCCCTCCCCGCAGCGCCATGCCCTTGCTCACCCGGGTCTGCTTTATTTGCACCCCATAGAACTTCAGGGGGTTGACGACCTTGGTCTCCAGCCTCTCTACCTGGGGGCACATAAACACACACCCAGTCAGAGCAGGTGGAGCCAGAGAGATGCTGACAGGCTGTGTGGTCCCTTGCCTGCATTTATAGTGCTCTGACTGCATACCCAGGACTGCACATTGGGCCATTCCCCAGCCTTGGGGTTTTGAGCACCAGTCTGGGCTCTGGGCTCTGCCTCCCAAGAGCACAGTTACACATTTCCTCTCGAAGAGTCCCGTTTCCTGGCCTGTAAAATGGGTATAAGGAGTGAACCCACTCAGGGTTTCTTAGAAGATGGGTGGGACCCAGTGCATTTCATTTCTCCAGACTGCCTTAAGTTGTCACCAGGGAGGCTGACAGATTCACCTGGAACACAAACTAGTAGAGCATCCAGAGTGGACCACACTGTGAAGCCCCAAGGACTGGCAGGGTCGGCAAGGGGGACACTTCACATCCCTGGGTCAGTGTCTGTGTGCAAGCCCAATGCTAGACACTTAAATAAACATTATCGGTAATAGTAACAGGCCAGTTAAAGCTGGTGTGGATTAAGTGCTTACCCTGTGGATGTCACACTAATCAGGCGTAGGGGTCCCTCCAAGGGCTTTTCTTATAACCCTGATCGCCAGCCACTCCCTCTCCAGATGTTCCAACTCAGCAGATCCAGGGCATTGCCCCCAAATCTGCCTTCCTATTAAGATCTGAGTCTGGCTTGCCAGATGGGCCAGGGGAGCTGGAATCCCCACCCAACCCCTTGCTCCTCCATCAAAGCTTGTGGCTCTTCTAAATGCAAATCTAAAAAAAACCCAATAATTTCCCCAAATGCCAAAAGGGAAAGGAACATTTTCCCCTCCCTTTCTGTACGGCATTTCTTTGGAAAAACTTGCAGTTGTAGACCTTTATTTGTGCCTTTGAGATGGATGTAAACCTTTTACAAGCTAAAGAAGCCTCTGGCTGGTTTTACAACTAGGCCAGGCATCTCTGAACTGTAAACATCAGGAGGACAGACTCTCCAGGAAGTTTTCCTGGCACCTGGCTCTAGGCTGTACCTACCTGCTTGTTAGAGAGAGGTTTTAGTTTTCTTTGGATAAAGATGATTGTCCAGCCCAGTTGGCCCCCTAATCACCAGGTGGAATTAGGAAGTCCTCTGTGACAGAGGCACTGTCCCATTCCCTGTTTTCAGAGCATCCCCTCCCTGAGGACAGTCATCTCCTATCTCCAGAGAGTGTGCTTGGTGGGGAGTGAGGTTTCTCTGTTTTTGCCATCACTTATCCAATCACCTGCGACATGCATTGTCTTCTGGTTTAATGCTTATTCAGTGGAAAAGCTGTTTCAGTCTTCTCTACCGTAGCAGAGGGGATTTTTTTTGGGCTGGCTGGAGACTATTATTTTTATTTTATTTCATTTTACTTTTAATCCCAAACTCCTAGTCCATCCCTAAACATTGATTTACAATATTGCTAATTTTTGCTCTACAGCAGAGTGACTCAGTTACACATTCTTTTCCATTATGGTTTATCATAAGATATTGAGTATAGTTCCCTGTGCTATTCAGTAGGACCTTGTTGTTTGTCTATCCTGTATGTAATAGTTTGCATCTGCTAATCCCAAATTCCCAGTCCATGCCTTTCCCACATTCTCCCCCTTGGCAACCACAAGTCTGTCCTCTATATCTGTGAGTCTGTTTCTTATTCATAGATGTTTATTTGTGTCATATATTAGATTCCATATAGAAGTGATATTTTATGACACTTATCTCTATCTTTCTGATTTCACTTAGTATGATAATCTCTAGGTCCATCCATGTTATTGCAAATGGCATTATTGGTGTTTTTAATGGCTGAGTAGTGTTCCATTGTATATACACCACATGGAGATTTCCATTTTTAATTCTTTCCCAGACTCCCTGCATCTTTCTTGTCTTGCACAAGCCTCCAGGCTCTCAGTTCTATAAACTGAGATTTGACCCTGGAAGGAGTGATATGCGCTCCTCTGGGGATGTCTTTGTAGGAGATGCATCCACTAACTGTGGACCCCACCAGGCTGCGTCAACCCTCAGACTGCCCCTGCCCCTACCCTGGGCAGCAGGTCCTCCGGAGCTACCCGCTCACCTCAGCTTGCCTATAATCTTGCACTTTGGCAAAGTCCTCAGCGAAGTTCTTCAGGGTGGCCCGCATTTCTGGGTTCTCCGTATTGGCAAAGTTGATGAGCTGTTTGACCAGCTGGTCGGCCTTGTCACGCAGCCGGGCTGTCTTGCGGGTGTAGGCGGCCAGCAGTGAGCAGAACTGGCCGAAGGACTTCTCAGCATTGGTCACCATGTCCTCCATCACCCGCACCTGGCTGTCCCTGGGGAGGCAGGGGCCTGAGGGGCCGTTCTGGGCAGTGACACCCAGCCAGGTCACTCAGTGACACAGGGACCGCCCACCCACTGCCCTCTTCCTCAGTGGCGGGCCTGGCCCAGGTGCCTGCTCCCCAAGATAATACCCGCAGTCTCTGGGTCAGGCCAGCAAGGCAGGTGCTGGAGGCCAGAGGGGCATGGGACTGGTCAGTGGCCAGGCAGGCATCCAAGTGTGGGTTGGTCTCCTCACTTGGCCTTTTGCACTGTGAGATCCTTTAGAGGGGCTTTATCTTCCCCGTAGAGTTTGTCTGTGTTCTAAGCCATCCTGAGGGGCAATGGCCTCTTTTCTCTGAAATTCCCTGATTCTGTCTTTTTCCTGAGCTGTTGAAATTCTCTGCCTTCTCTGCATCATAAAGCTTTTTATTTTTGGAATTAATAAACTTTTGGGGGGAGGTAAATAGTTTTAGGTATACAGAAAAACAGTGGAAAGTACAGAGTGTTCCCACAAACTGTTCCCCAGCACATGGCTTCCCCTATTATTAACAGCCTTCCTTTCCAGCAGGACCTCTGTTACAAAAGATGAACCAGTGGTGATACCTTATTAACTAAAGTCCCTCATTTACATGAAGGTTCCCTCTTGGTGTGGTACATGTCATAGGTTTTGACAAATGTTCAATGCCCTGTCTCCAACTATAACAGCATCATAGAGAAGTTTCACTGCCCTAAAGGCCCCGTGCTCTGCCCTTGGGTCCCTCCTGCCTCTCCCAGCCCTGGACCTTGTTTGTCCTTGTGGTGCACCATTTTTCAGTACTTATCACTTCCTGTTGTGCAGAGCAGTTGGGGGCGAGGGCTTGCTGACTCATCTTTTATGTGCTGCTAGCCCACGGCCTGCCCATCAAAGATGTTCCATGAAGAAGTACAGGGTGAGTGAGGACCTGCTGGATTTTGTCTTCCCAAGACAGCTGAGTGGCACAGCCTCAGACCCTCGCCTCCCTCTCGCCCCACTGCACCCTCTCCTCATCCCTCATCCCAGGTGGTTGCTGCCCTAGCCGCCTCTGTTTGACCAAACCTCCCAGCCGTGCATTCCTCTAATCGTATCTCTAAGGCTGGAAGCTGGGAGGAGGGCTTTTTGTCCTCCTCAGAAACCCTAACTGGTGCAGTGCCCATCATGTGCATGACTCTGCAAGCAAGGTAAATGGAGGCCAGAGAGGTGAAGCACCTTGCTCCAGGTCACACAGCCGGCTGCATTCTCTGTCCCTCCAGGTGGAGTCCTTCGATCCCCTCAATCAGAATCACCTAGGGCACAAGTTAAGCCTGCAGAATCCCAGCCCACCCTCCCCCAGGCTTGTGACCTAGACTCCCTGTGAGTGAGGCCCAGGGGTTGGTTACATTTGTAAATAAACATATCATCAGGTGGTCCAGAGTTTGCAATCCCCAGAGGAGCCAGGTGTGGGAACAGCTGGCTAAAGGACAGGCAGGTTGAGAAAGCAGTGATCGAATCAGGCTGCAGGCAGTGTGACTGGGAACAGTTCCACAGAAGGGGTGATGCCTGGTGGGGTTTTGAAACATGAAGGGGTTTCCCAGGTAGAGATGAGCTAGAGAAGTGGGAGTGGACCGTGTGAATTTAGCTACCCCAGGTCTGTGGGCAAAAATGCTGGAGAAGTAGATGGAAGCCAGAATCTGGAAGCCTCCATGGTCCCTTGACCTTGAGGTGGGTGTGGTATGGGCGGGAGAGCATCCTTACCACCACCCCCTCGGCAGTCCAGGCAGCCTTGTCCGTCTCAGTTAATCTGGCCCTGAGAACCTGGCCTCCCCGCTCCCTCTCGGCTGGGGCCAGCGCAAAGCTGCTTACCTGGAGAGAATGATGTTCATTGTGATCAGAGGCAGCCGCTGTCCTGGTCTTGGGGAATAAGGGCAGGGCCCCAGGGGTCCCCCAGGGCTGGGAGAAGCCGCACAGTGCTGGGCACAGCTGTGTGGTCCTGGCTCAAGGGACGCTGCCACTTGGTTGCTGGGCAACGTGGCTGCCCACAGTAACCCTGGGAGGAGCCTCTGCTGGTCACCAGGGCAACCTCTCCTGGGGCCAGCCTCCCCAGGCTTAGTTAGGAGGCCTCACCCTTCCATGCACTGGCCCAGGTAGGGTCCCAGAGAGGCCCCTGCTGTGGTGAAGACAGAGGTTCTTGTGGACCTGGCAGTGTAAGGGTTCCCCAAGAGGTGCAGGGACTGGATTTGGGGCTGCTGGCCTGGGATGCAGCCCTGGGCCTAGCTGTGTTCACGGGTTCTGTCCTGGGACTCCTCCCATGAGAAGGCTGCCCAGCCCTCCCCAGGCTCCTGAGAGACCTGGCTGCTCAGGAGAGGTGAGAAAGCACAGAGGGAATGGGGGGCCTGAGGACTTGCTGCTGAATGGAGGGGAGACAAGTATGTCTGAAATATGGTAATCCTCATTTCTGCTGCTTGTTTCCCGCTTGTTACCAACTGACTTTTTAGTTTTATGAGGACTTACTTTTACTGTTAGAAAAGTAAGGAAACAAAGATAACACAAAAAGAAACGGATACAACAGCACACATTAAATTGTACTAAGTAAAATACATTTTGCTAATTGTTAGATTTGTGAATTTCAGTGCATCTACATTTTACCTAAAGAAATATGAAGCTAACAACCACAGCAGTAATAGACTGGACAGGAAGAGGTGAAGGCAGTAAAGCAGAATGTTGGTAACTGTTACCATGGGGGACCCACTGCCCAAGTCTCTTCACTTGTATATGCCTGGAGGTCTTCATAGTGAAGAGCAAGCTTTTTAAAAATGTATATGAAAGTAAGGACTTTATTTTTATTGAAACATAGTAGATTTACAATGGTATGTTAGTTTCTGGTGTACTGCAGAGTGATTCAGCTATCAGTTCAGTTCAGTCGCTCAGTCATGTCTGATTCTTGGCGGCCCCACAGACTGCAGTATGCCAGGCTTCCCTGTCCATCACCAACTCCCGGAGCTTACTCAACTCATGTCCATCGAGTCGGTGATGCCATCCAGTGGCTTCATCCTCTGTTGTCTCCTTCTCCCACCTTCAGTCTTTCCCAGCATCAGGGTCTTATCTGATGAGTCAGTTCTTTGCATCAGGTGGCCAAAGTATGGGAGTTTCAGCTTCAGCATCAGTCCTTCCAATGAACATTCAGGACTGATTTCCTTTAGGATGGACTGGTTGCATCTCCTTGCAGGTCATGAGACTGTCAAGAGTCTTCTCCAACACTACAGTTCAAAAACATCAATTCTTCGATGCTCAGAAATAAAGTGATGTTTATATGTTAATCCCAAACTCTTAATTTACCCCTCCCCTCTTTTCCCTTTCAGTAACCATAAGTTTGTTTTCTATGCCTATGACTCTGTTTCTGTTTTGTAAATAAGTTCCTTTGTGTCATATTTTAGATTCCACATATAAGTGACATCATATGGTATCTGTCTTTCTCTATCTGGTTTACTTCACTTAGTATGATAGTCTTTAGATCTGTCCATGTTGCTGCAAGTGGCATTATTACATTCATTTTTATGGCTGAGTAATATTTCATTGTGTGTGTGTGCGCCACATCATCTTCATCCATTCGTCTGTTGATGGACACTAATGTTGCCTCCATGTCTTGGTTACTGTTAATAGCTACTGTTAATAGCACTGCTGTGAACACTGTGGTGCATGTGTGTATTTGAATCGTAGTTTTCTCCAGAGATGCCCAGGAGTGGGATTGCAGGATCGTATGGTAGCTCTGTTAAGAAACCTCTATATTATTCTCCTTGGTATCGGCACCAATTTACATTCCTTTCAGCAGTGTACGAGGGTTCCCTTTTCTCCACATCTTGAAAGCGAGGACTTTAGAGTCAGCAATGGCACCCCACTCCAGTATTCTTGCCTGGAAAATCCCATGGACGGAGGAGCCTGGTGGGCTGCAGTCCATGGGGTCGCGAAGAGTCAGACACGACTGAGTGACTTCACTTTCACTTTTCACTTTGATGCATTGGAGAAGGAAATGGCAACCCACTCCAGTGTTCTTGCCTGGAGAATCCCAGGGATGGGGTCGCACAGAGTTGGACACGACTGAAGTGACTTAGCAGTAGCAGTAAACACAGATTCAGATCCCAGCCCCCAGCCCTGCTGTGTGACCTGGGGTGAGTCACCTGACCTCTCTGGACAGCAGTCTTCTCCCCTGTAGAACTGGATCCTGGCCCTCTTTCCTTGCCTTGTTGTTAGGAGATATGTCCCTGGTGCAGCAGTAAAGCGACAGGGCAGGGTGGCCTCCAGGGCAGTTCCTAGTCTGCCGGCCCATGGTAACGACAGCGCTACTGTGGCTGGGCCTGTTCTGGCACCTGCCCTCCCCTGCACCTCTGTACGGTCCCTTTATCACTCCAGCTGACTCCTTGCATGGGAGCCGAGAGCTCCCGATGCGTCCTGAGCGATGCATGCATGTACCTTGGCTTCTTCCTGTCTGGAGCATGTCACCTCCCCGTCTTCCCCGGGTGGTGCCTCTGACCAGCGCCCTGAGGCTCTACTAGTCACTGTGTGAGTCTTGCCTGTATGATGCAAAGCAAGATGGCTCTGGTCCCATAACTGGGGTCTTAGAAGAAGAGGAAGCAGAGGCACACACAGGGAAGACAGCCCCATTACAGCAGGGCAGAACCTAGAGGGTTGTCGCCACGAGCCATGCCTGGCATCCCTCGCTCCCCACACATTGAGAGAAAAGCTTCATTTTCATCCCTGGGCCTTGTTCTGTCCCTGATGTATGCTGTCTTTCCTTCTCCCTTCCCCTCCTTCCTTCCCTCTGTCTGCTTCCAGCTTCGTGAACAACTCAGGTAGGTAATTGCTGTCACAACAATAACAACAATACCTGTGGGGCAGCCCTGGGCCCATCCTGCTCTGGGCCCTGCCCTGATTCACTCACACACTCAAAAGGGTGGGGTTTTTTAGTTTTCTTTTTTGTTTTTTAAAGTGGGAGTTGGGAGTCA